AGAATAAAGCTACGAACAGTAACTGATAAAAGTGTCATAGAAAGTACGAGAAAAAATTATGCCAGTCTGATTTGTAACAATTTATGGAACAAGTTCTATCCAAGGCCAAGATCTGAGATAATTATCAGGGCAATGCGCTAAAAAAGTTTCTCCTAAGGTAACAGGAATAAAAGACTCAGACCTGGCCGATACGGCTTAATGTTGGGATCCAAATTACATATAAAAATAATGAAGCTTTTAGACGGATTAGGGGATATAAAGGCTGGTTTTCAAGCTTTTCAAAGCAATGCCCAGATGGAGAGGGCTGGAGGGAAGTGGAGAGGGGAGAGGAAGTGAGGCGAAGACGAACGAAAAATGTTTAGTTCGTTGCTCAGAACTGCCATGAAGGCCAAAATTTCCGCACCATCAGTCTACGTATTCAGTGTTAGTAAAATTATTGCAATTGCCAAAATATACATTATAACTTAGTTTCGGGTGCGGCAAAAATCGGAATTGTGACGTAGAAACTTTTAATAAAATATTTAGCTACATCTTCCTGCCAGAAGAAGAAAGACCCAGGCTGGAACGCGCCAGGCTCTCCGGTGCGATCATGCGTTTTTGCACTAAACTCGTTGATCGCTATTAGCTGGAATGGTCTCTACGCTGTAGCCTAACACTTGTATCATATTGGCGTGCTTTGATCCTTTCCGGTATGCAGGAGGAAGGGCGTCAGTTGGGATGGAGATGGTGCGTTATAGAGCCGCACGGGCATCCAAGTGCACTACTACTGACTGATTTTTTGCATGAAGTCCGGTCGTTTTTTCGGTAAATATTCGCTTTGTGGAAAAATGACAAATGCAAATTTTTTGAAAAAATGCAGATTTCCAGTTCATGAAAAATTGGAAGTGTTGCTCGAACGGTCGTTTTTCAAAAAATCCATGTTCATTTGCATACTAGATTGCGGTTCAGATCCGAGTTGCGAACGATTTTTGCGTTGAAGAGCTGCTTAAGGCTGTGACTGGGGGGCTCGACAGCCGAGTTTAAAATCTTTAGCTCGCACGTGTATAGAGAATATCCGTGGAAAGTTTCAGCTTTCTACCTTGCCTGGTTCGCAAAATCGTTTCCCGCCGACATATTTATTTGGGGGTCCCATACGTAGGGTCTAGGCGCGCACGGAGAAAGATCTTAAAACGGGAGGATGACAGACGGGGTAGGAACGC